ATGGATGGATGGATAGGTGGTTGGATTTAATACTATTTCATTCTTTTAGTTTCTTGAATTCTTTCAGTTTCCTTTTGATTAGGATGTTACAGAAAAAGATTGGCAAAGTCTTTGTGATGTGTCCAAATGTGGGTTTGACAGATTACTAATAGATAGGTCAATATAAATATATGTCGGATTTTGTTACCCTCTACAGTTAAGTACCATCTTACACCCTTATCTACTTTTTTTACGGACATCCATTCCCCACCCACCCCTATCCTGATCCCAGTGGAGAACTTTGTTGTTGGTGCAGGTTTCCTCTCCATCTCCTCCTCATGTCTAGCTGTGTGACTGGCCAACACCAGACCAGCAGGCAAGTCTGAAAACTCCTGCAGGAACAAACACAGCCGTGTCACCTGTTGTGTGGAGGTGTCAAACAAATTTACAGTATTCATTATGTACTCAAACATATGTTGTACATCCAGTACCCCTGAATGTTTTGTAAGTCCAGTATAAACTGTACTCCTCTGCATTTCATGATAGCAGCCCTTGCAACTCCACAAAACTAGAAATTTTGTATCCTGTTGGAGAGCAAGACTAATCTGATATTTACTAACCAACTGCTTATATATCATATCAAAAATCTGAAGAAGATGCTGCCAGGCAAATTTCCAAGGCACTTAACAAACCCAACACAGGAATTAGTTTGTGATAATCCCCAGCAAACCTACCAGGTTGTCTAACAGCTCCTCTCTCTGCCTCATCTTCCTCTGCTTCTCCCTCCTCTCCTGCTGGACCAGCTCCTGTCTGCTGAGCTGCAGGTACGCCTGTTCCTCCTCAATGAGCTGCTCCATCAGCTCCTCATCTTTACTCTGCACAACAGACAGGCAGGGGGATTATTTCTGCCCACTTCTTCTGATCATTGTTTCCTTGTCAATTTTAGTAAGCAATAGTAGGACTCTATTATGTTCAAAATTATGAAATAAACATCACTCCTCTTTGGTAGAACAAGAAATATTTAGTATATAAAATTATTTAAGAGCATAAACCATATTTTCTGTGCGTATGGTACTCACTCAACTCATCCCCCATCCCCCCTCTGTAGTGAAACCCATCTATCTCTGGTACCTCTGCAGTACATATATAGTTCAAGAGGCCACAGTTTCAGACTAAAAATACCTAAAACAAGACTTGACATCCGGAAAAAGTCATTTGCAGTACGAACAATCTCTGCATGGAATCAACTACCCCAAGAAGTTGTGCAGCAAACCAGCGTGAATGGGTTCAAGAGTAGCATAGACCTACACATCAAGACCGTACTAGACGGAGGAGCGACCAGAGGCTACCCGCCATCAAGCTCCTGACTGCGGAGATAAGACGATATCTCTGCAGTTCAGGTAAATTCAGGTAAATTCAAGCTGCCAACTCATCCAAGAAGGCGACGCGTTTCTAATCTTTGGTTGACGGACAAAGAAAACAACAAACTGAACTACATGCCTCAGGTGACCATGGGCAAGTAAACAGTCAAACTTGTACACACAGACAAATCTAAGGACAAAGCAGACGTGAATTTTGTTAACAAGTAGTCTTTACACAATCACTGGCACTTCCTGGCAACAAGACAAGATGGACAAGACAGTTGGCGGGTGGTCTCTACCGAATGACTGTAAAGGATAGATTACTGGTGTATTTCGTGGTCACCAGGCGTACGTCTCAGTTCCTTCTCACCCACTGCAATTTGTACCATTAAAGGCCAACAATTCAAAGGTAAGTGTGGTGTAGTCTCTGTTCCAAAGGACAAGCTGAACCTGCCTGGTGGTTGTCTTTGTACTAAACACAAGGGATTCTGGGGAAAGAGTTTTGCCAACAACTGAAGGTATGTCACTACAAACATGGCTAACCTTTGCATACGGACACTGCAGGAGCAAAAATGGTCCTGTACTGAAGAAATGTAGCATAGAATATCTATCTCATGCGTTTAATGGTTTCAAATAGCTTTGAATAAATTCAAATATTCTCCTCCCATTTATATTGTTGCAACTTGTGTCAAAGCAGACAGGCCTATATTCCTAGTTCGGGACTGAATTATTCATGAAAATTTGGACAAAAAAAACAGCATTGTCTCCTGGATCTAGCAAAAGGGAGATCATTGCTTCTACAGTGTCTTCTGTAAGTGCTATTATGCCTGCTATTAACTGGTGGAATTAGACTTTTAATCCAAACAACGAGGGAAGTCATGATATCTAGTTTCTACCTTACAGCCAGACATCCCACCCTCAGTCCTGTGCCACCAGCAGTGTAGAAAAGCCAAGCCCATCATGAACAATCCATCTCTGTCAAGGTGAAAAACCCCACCACTGTTCTACCATGAACATGATGAAGGGGTATTTTGACTTCAAAGAACGAGAACTCCATCAAAGGTGTCCTTCTTATACCCAGCATGCTGACAATATTTCACACTATCTTTTGTTCACAGCTGAGCAGCACTTCCCCACACAAACATTGCCAAGTTCCCATGAACAATCTGCCTTTATTAAGACATTCTACAGCCACTTAGTGCAGCGTGGCTTGAGCAGTGATAGCCACTAGTGTTCAGCATGGCTCAACTAGCATGAAGACTGAGGCCAAGTCAACCTTCAAGGCTTTTCCTCTCACACCAGGTTGATGCTCAGGATGTCTTGTGCAGTAAGGTTGTTGTCAGAAATACACAGCAGCAGCACTTAAGCTACTTTTGTGTGGACTGTCTTAAAATTGGGAAGCACGGAAATAGAATAGCAATAGCTGCTGATTAGAAATATTGCTCACTGTCTTATAGAAACTCAGAAAAATGAAAGGAATTGTTCCCTGTTCATCTTTATTACAATGTTAGTTATCTTAGAAAAATAAATGGACACTCATAGTCAATTTTCCTATGCAGGTTTTTACTACTTTTCCACCAACAAGGCATGCATTGTGGGCAGTTACTACAACCCTTCTCATTGTTACATACAGACCAGAAGTTGATATCTACCCGACACAGCACGGCGTCAGTGTACCAACATGGCATGGTCTGGTGCCAGGAATTCTCCAGTGTTTACAGTACTTGGGTTCCCGGCCTAATGGTGGGGGTGTATTTGTTGGTGCCCGATTATTTGTTTCCAGTTCTGAACCTCAAACAAACACAGGCAGCCAAGCCAGGTGAGTGAAGGACTCTTGAAGGCAATTGTCGAACACGGCAATCCCCTTCTTACCTGGACAAGGCAAAACACCTGGTGGACAGGTAGATGAAAGTTCCTGTCCTCAGGTGTAAACTGCTCAGGTGTGAACGTCTCGGGTGTAAACTCCTGTCACTTCTGTCTGGCTCATGGCACCAACAAGGACACGCTGGACTCCCACCACACCAAGCATGACATACGGGGAAAGCTTGGACAAGATGTTATTTATCACTTTCCCACTACTGGAGCAGCCCTACACACAACCTGATACTGTCTAGCTGTCCATGTAGATGTATCAGTTATATACAATTAACAAAGACCACTTTCATCAATATACAAAGGGAATTCTGCAATTTTAGTTTAAAAGTTAACTTGATATGTTTTTAAATGAGACATTCATTGGAGTTCTGTACTTGACAACACCTATAACACAGAGCAAATCTTACATCTTCATAGCATCAACACTCACTGTACCAGTACCAATACAAGGTGGTGTGTGGCACTTGTACTTGTAAGTTGTTGTCACTTCAAGAATGGGTCAGGGGGAAATTGTTGAGTGACAGGAAAGGATTTATAGTTTAGGTTTTGGGTAATCTAATAAGGCCTAAGGAAACACCACAGGAACGTCACCTCAGGTGACACATATTCACCAACACGTCACGCTTCTGATATTCTCCTCCAGGCAATATCAACCTTTTCCTGTAGAAGGATATTGATACAACAATACAGTAACCATTCTGCTAATGTAAACTTCCTTGATGATACTTATTCATATTTAACTTTGTCTCTTATGATATCCTACTGACATTGTGTTTGGTGCTGTACTGTGCCATATTTGAATACTTCAGTCTTCACATACAGAGTGAAGTGTTCTAAACTGCTGCCTTGCTATGTACTACTAAGTGCTTTTCCTAGTTCCCCATAAAGACTGGTTACAAAAACCACAACCAGGGTTGCAACAAAGTATGAAAGAGGGTCCTTTTACATATACCGTTGTTCCCTATAAAGTCTGGTTACAAAGACCTGCCTGTGTCTCCACACGCTGCTATGGTTCTGTCTACACAATAGATTACCCCGGATCAGCCCAATGGAGACACTTAAATAAAGAAGGACACTAAAGTCAACTTTCTGTAACTTTCCACCAATAAATGTAGGCATTTTCCAAATCACAACCAAATTCTTGTGCAAGATGTCAAGCCTTGATTTAGTCTACCCTAGAAGGCAGCTACTGCACTGACGACACTAAGTGTTAAATATTATGGTTACATTCATGGGCAGCCACAGTATTTTGAAACAGTGATTTCAGAGAGGGATCACACAAATACATGTTGGTGGCAAATTGCTGATAAGGCCAAGAATGTTGAACAAAAACTTTCTTATCTGTGAAAACAAACCATTTCAAAACCTTTTCCCTAATAAATAGAAGAGTTAAATTCTTCCTGTCATGCCCCAACCCTGCTAGACTGTAACTGTAGCTGGCAATGCTCCCACATTGTGCAATTATATAGCCTACTTCTCTTCAGGGTCACAGAATAAGAGACCACCCTCATCTGTTACTGTAGACACAGCTTCATCACGCCTCTGCTTATTTTGGTCCGTCTAATCTTTAATGCCCGGATTAGATATTTACATTCAACTGGAGTGCTTACATATAGAATGATTCAAAAAGAAAACTGCCTACAGAGGGGCAGTGACACTATGTAAACTGTTTAGAGTGGCCCCGTCTGCGGTCGGATCTTTCAACAGCTAAGAGCAGAAAACTTGCCCATGTTGGTAAACATCACTAATTGCAGGGTTACAAATTACCAGGTAAGGGTACACCTAGGGGCTGTGGATAATGGGTGGGCACGTTACGTGATACGCTGAACCACGGCTACTTTCATCACAGGAATTCACATCTGAGTCGCTGCCCTGACGGTGGCCAAGTTCGCAGAGGTGTGAGAACAAAAGCAAACCATGAGCTGCTTAAGGGGTGAGAGTTTATCCCCTATCAAGTGATGCTAAGTACTAATACCACACGGATCACAGTTAGAATTACTGCTGTGTTTGTGCCATGCCAGAATATCCAACTCAAACTTTCCAGCCTGTTTTCCCAAGACGATCTTAGATTCTGTCTTAAAGCTGTTGAAAAAAAAGGCTGGCTTGACTCTTGTCATGCAAGGAGGATAAGTGGCAGATGGGGGTGGCTGGCTAAGAGCAAAACCTAAATTAAAATGGACCTAAAACTGAGCCACAACTTATCTTAAGGATTCATATTTACTAGTAATCTACCTATTGTTATACAGTATGTAGTTAAGGCAAAAATGTATAATGCCTCAATTTTATGTTTTATAAGAATTTGTTTCCACCTGTCATAGATCTATACCATCTAATACAGGTATGTTAACATGTCCATTTATTATGTGTCAGACCCTTTGAAGATTGACAAATTATTTAGCCCATTTTTCCTTTTTCACAGCAAAAAGTTTTACTTTAGAATTGTCTCAAAATTTCTCAAACAGCCTACTCTGAAGTTGGTGGTGAGAATTCTTTGTTCTTTTCGAGGAAGGAACTTTATCTAAACCTTTCAAATGGCTTACGTAATCAGTGTTTAAGTTGACATAAATTCCAACTATCGTATAACTAAGATATAAATATCATTTAGTTTACAAAAATTGCAGTGGCAAGAGCACTCCATTCACAACCCCTATCTACACCTCCACACCATGGAGACCCACCATGGAGGCACAGGTGTGTCTCTACCATCTTCACCTGACTCTGGTAAGCATCAACCTCACCTCACACTGCCCTGCGTAGGTGGACAGTTTAGAGTATATGCAGAGTGGGTGTGAGCCATAGGACCTGTGTCATAATCATGGAGAGGTTTCTGTGTCTGGTGCTTTAACAAAACCACAGGAACGTGTGTGAAGAGTACCTGGTACGGAGCTGTACATGTAACACACCATACAAGTACATGGCATCTGTAGTGATGGCAGTATGGCAACAACACATCAGACACATGCAAATGTGTTTGACCAGTCCACTTCATTTCAGCAATTCAGTCTGATTTATCTGGACCGAGTGAGAGGAGGTTATACTCCAGTTTGGATAAGTTGCAAACACTACAAGTTCTTAGGTTTGCTCATGTGCTATAGTCAAAATAGATGGTCTCCCAAAAACATACAGACAAAAAATGTAACAAGTAATTAGTGTTTAGCTGTGGCCTTAGCAAAACCACACAGTGGGAGGGGGAGTCACCTGGCAAATCCAGAAGTGTAATTTGGCATAAGTGTGTGGCATTTCTGTCTGTAAGCCATGCTGGCTTACACTAACTCTTGCTTAATGGCATCTCAAGCAGTTGCCTCAAGAGTGCAATAGTCTGTAAGAGTTTCATCCCTCTGTATACCCTGGAACTAACAGTGTAGCCACGACATCGAGCAATATGAAGCCAAACTCAAATAACCCCTGATGAACCCTACTGCAGACTGAGCTGACTTTATGTCTGGATTTATTCTTAAAATCATGTTTTCTTAGACCTTTCATTGCAGAAATATTGCTATGTACAAACACTACCTAGTTTGTAACCTCCTTTTTCGCACATCCCCGTATGTACATTTGTCAGCAGAAACGTGACTTCAGCATAATGCTTCTACATTGTGCTACAATGCTGCTCAATAAAAATAATGAATTCCATAAAGTATGCCATGAAGGTATGTAGTAATCTTTAACTTTGTTTCGATGTTACTACAGGAAGAAGATGGCCCCAAGCCATCCTAGGCAAGGAGAAAAGTTTACAGTCCAGAAACCAGAGCTGTTTTTGTCACTTCATCCCAGGAAGTACAGGGGCAAACTGAGCTGTGCTCCAAACAGGAACAGACTCAGACATGCGGGGAAACAAACCTGAACTTGTTGAACCTGTGAGTTTGGAGATGGATGGAGACTCTGAGCTGAGGTTTACCACCGGGGACTGCAGATATACCAGCTGGAACAACTGACAAATTACCAACAAACCACAAACTTAAAGTCCTCCCCAGACTGGCTACACCAACACAAAAGATGTGCATTCCCTCTTTAATAAACATCACATTCTCTTCATTTTCGATGTAATTAAGTTCATGTTTAATGTGGACATGGACTACCATAGAAACAAGCAAATGACACAGATCTGCCTCATGATCTGGTGTATTATATTGTCTGCGGCAGCCGTGCTGAAACAGTGGTGGGTATGGTAGACATTCATACTTAAATATCACAGTGGTATCCAGAATATAATTGCTGAAACCATAGTTAACCCTTGCCTATTGCAATATTTTCCTGTCGATTGCAACATAGACCATCTGACTTCAACAACCCCTGGCCTCCTGTAGGAATTCTATACAACTTAACCTGGTCCTGAGAACAGGGCTATAGCCATTAACACCATTCCTGCCATAAAATCTTATTTTTTCAAGGGTCTAAATGTACTAGATGTGTTTACCAGTGACCAGTGACAAGCAAGTACTACTGTATAGTGAAAAAATCTATAGCCATTACCCCAGAAAAGCCTTGACAATGCTTGGAGAGTCTGAGCTAATACATGTATAGTGAAGCAATGAAGAAATAGTCAAGTCCATGGCTTGGGTTGACTACTGTTGGCCTGTCCAGGGCTAGTGTCAACATGTGAATGACAGGTCCCTACTGTTTGTTTACAGCATGGCCTGTGTTTACCTAAGGTGATACTGTAGCCCCAACACCAGACTGCCCAGCGAACACTAACATTTACAAGTTCCTTTCTTTGTGTGAAAAGTGCCTGATGAAAGCTCGGAGGAGGTACAGGGAATTACCCACAAATCCTGGGATATTTGCAGGAAACATTCTCAGAGTGCAGACCTGACAGTTTTCTACAAATGCGTCTTCAGAACTCCAGAAACTCAAGTTATTTATACATTGATATGAAATGTAATGTACGAGTAATTTGGAGTAAATTGTTATAGAGTGAAGTCATACCAGCATCTCAATCAGTACACTTATACATGAATCATTAAAGGTTTTAACCCACACAAGTGTGTAAGTGTTATTCCTAAGCCTTCACTTAGTCCCTAATTGCTGTGAAGGCACCAGAGACGAAGCAGTACCTGAGCTCAAGCATCAGAGTCAGTCGTGACAAGACTAAACGTGCAATAATGATGCTGCTATGCCAATGAGGGGCACATGTCAACACAAGCATTTTACTCAAGATCAACCTAACACAAGGATAAGCATACTAAAAAAAGGTAGCAGGTGACAGTCACTGAAGAGTTACCTGTCCTTTCTGACCAGACCCCTGCAGAGGTTTGTTTGTTTATTGAAAATAAGTCAGAACATTGATGACAAGCAGGAGGACCTGCTGACAACTGATTGGGATTTTCAGCATGTCTGAGTCTGATTCATGCAGTGTAGATTTACTTGTATCTTATAGCTCTGGGCATCCATATTGAAATATAAAAGTACATGTAGCTTCTTTTAGAGGTTGGCTGTCTGTCAGTAGCATGCTTCACATTTACACACAGCTGAAGTAAAATGTACCAGTACAATTACATCTCAATAATATTATCTGACATATTCTTTGTGTGATCAGTTGTTTCTCAATTAGGCATTCAAAACCTACATACTGATATCTTTACCTTTAGCTACTGCCATCTATAGACTACAAATGGAGAAATAGATTCACAGATAATTCAGTGTAATAGATCTAAGTGTTTGAACAATGTTTGGCTGTTACAGCCATCAACAATTCTTTTAATTTTATGAATGTAAGAATTCATTCTACAGACAAATACATATGTACATGAATGGATCACACATAACAATTCATAGTAAAGCTAAAGTGGTATCACTGAAGAATGAGGGACAAGAGGAACATGGTAAAAAGAACAACAGGAAAGCAGGAAATAAGATAAAGAAAACTGGTGAACCTAATGAGTTAGTAAAGCAAACAGTGGAGCCATGTGGATATGGTATCTGTTGTTAAGACAAGATAAGAACATGTCAATAATATTTACACTGAGACATTCCAGCATGTTGCTGGGTGTTGAGCAGTGGTCAACAATGGTGGGGCTACTGTGTACTGTCACACAACGTGACTTGAAACATGTGGTAACAGAAGCTGTGATACAATGTACAGGACGAAGTGGTCTTTAATATACTGTGGGGTAAAACAATCGTGGGGATTTCGACCCATAAAAAGATGTGTCTCTTTGATCTCATTTAGAAGACAACAACACTCCTGACAGCAAACCTTAAAAAGTTAGCAACCAATCCTGATGAGTCCTGAGAAAGACCAGACACCAAGAGATCTCCACCCTGCTTATAGTGAGACAGCCAACACCTGTGCTAGTGTTCCATTATCAGAATAAAATTGTTGGTTTCTCTCCCTCGATGAAGATGTCTGTAATGACAAGTACAATAAACACATGCACTGCCTCCATGTAGGGCGCTCCTTCATGTGAGATCGGATTCTGTCTGTCCAATTTAGGGAGAAGAGAAAGGAGGTCATGTTTTGTAAACATACAACCTGCTGTGTACAGGAGGACCTCTCCAGCTGACGTCCTGCTGGGACCTGCTATCTCCAATGACTCCACTCAGACTGGGCTAATAGAGGTGGCGACATGGGGTAAGGAGCACCAGAGATGTTTGTAGGGATAAGCAGTAGCCACCTGTAGAGAGGGGGGTGAGGGGCTTGGTGAAGGGAGGGAGGGGGGTCACATATGTCACTCAGATAGCCTGCCATCTGTGGGGTTAAGGTGAAGGTAGAGGGAAAAATGGATACATAGGATGAATGTAACTGTTATCTACCTACTCATATCATACATAAGGCAGTGGGTTAGTGCAGCAAGTATGTTTATGGAAAAGGTGAGATCAGAGTTATCAGCTCACCAGTTTGCTCCTGTTCCTCTGGATGTTGGACTTGTTACTTTTCTGGTATTCCTCTACCTTCTTCTTGGTCAAGTCCACATCAATGTTGTTGGAAAGGTTGAATACTAGAAAAGGCCACAAAAACATCACTGTGACAAAACATGGCCTGATATCACTTCAGTACCAAGGAAAGGCAGCTTTTTACTTGAAAAAAAAAACTTGACAAATGTAATGAAGGACATCATGAACTAATCATCTCCAAAGGAACAAAATTCACAGAACACTACAGTCATAGTCTCAGTGATGATGGAAGATTACATAATGTTCTACAGAATACATGGCCACACAAGACTGTTAGCTTACTGATAGTTTCCACCTCTTCCAGGTAGTCATTATATTCTCTCAGACTTGTGAACTCCTCCTCCTGTCTGTTGTAGCTGGAAAATATTGTAAAAATCAGGTCCATCTACTTATAAGACCAAGAAGATTTAAAAAAATAAACAAATACTCCAGGTACAACTCACTTTGTGACTAAAGCCAAAGAGTAAACAATAACAATGATAGTATATGTTTATATACTAGTAGATGACTGCAAATGACATGATGTTATGATATCATGATACACACTTGAACACCTTCAAGTTACTTTTATTGTGATATGATAAATTTTTGATGAAAACTACAATTAGTTCATCTACACCATCAGTGAGTTACTATATTGGTTACTATCTTCTCTTCATTCAGTTAGATTTCTATGGTTATGGCAATCCCACTGTTCATTTTGTGTTATTAATATTTTTCCATAAAGAACTTTATCAATACATTTTCAATATTCTTTTCCTGATATCAACTTCCTTGTCGACGAATGGGTCCTCAAACTGTTGTATCCTGAAGGTGTTTCTCCTGAGGGAGATGTTACATTCTGGACACGTCCCTGAGCCTCGGGCAAACAGTGTCTCCACACAGTTCTCACACCTACAGCAGGGGAGGACACACGTCAATGCAGCTGAGGTTGCAGTCAAAACATGTTACTGGGTATAATTAGACATATTATCTTGCCACCTACACACTAAACAATGCAGTTCAATGTTGTTTGTTTGTTTATTTGTTTGTTTGTTTATTTGTTTGTTTGCTTCAGGCAAAAAGTTCTGGATTTCATTCAACCTTCTGTGTGGATGTTTACAAACGCATGTACTCACACGTTAAGTATCGAAACCCAGTGACTTGTCCATACAAATGAGTCACGAGAACGAAAACATAACAGCTGTGGTAGTGGAGGGGAGGGGGGTGAATTCTGTATATCGGGGCTTCATTCCCAATGGTAATCACATCTCTTAAAAGTGTAATACATGTACACATAATCTTCTCAACAACGTGATCAACGGTATTGTATATCATGATGATATAGCCTGTGACATGATAGGCATTACAGGAAGACCCCACTCACAGTGTGTGTCCACAAGTGTTGACCATCAGTACCATGGACGGGTTACGGTACTTGGTGGTCTTACAGCGCGGACAGATGGCCTCATCCATGGCGACAGCGCTTCTCTGAACAACTCTGGAGTAAATATTACAAGTAGAGCTTCATCACTACAGAACGGAGACCAGAAACGCCTGATATAACGTGATAGTCAACACGATACCGCCAGTCTACATGGGCGCTGCCATCTTGATTACAATGCATGATGGGAAGTGTTGAACTTCTGGTGATTCTACGGCCAATGACGGCTGGGCATCACAGGATCCTCTTTGACCATCACCTCACCTCAGTCCTCAGCTAAAGATACGGTCATATAAAAATGACAAAATGGTTCTCCTTTGATACAGGTAACTGCTCGACGTACTACTAGCGCCCAAGTGCTGGTCTATTAAACTTTTTAACGTTGCAAGTTTCTTTCCACAGTGGTTTCTTTCTTTCATGATTGAAATCTAAAGGACACTATTCGCACACAAATAAACAATTTCATGCAATAAAAGGTTGGAAACAACACTTGGCTTGGATTGTGATTCGGGAAAGCAAGGCAATTGAACTGTGCTCCTATCCACCCTTCAGGCGGTGGACTAGTCCGTAGTTAGGAGTCCAGCTGAGACCACTTGTGTGCAGGTTTGACGTTCCACGGTTTGACGCTCCGCAGCACACACCGTGAGCACCAACCACAAACTTCCGGTTCTACAGGACAGAGTGATGATACTTCCGACACCTGTCTTCGCCGCACTGTAAAATCCACAACTTCTGTAGTGAAAAGGCTCGTCAATTTTCTGATTGCTGTAAATCTGTGGAAGGAATATGAAAGGAAATCGTCCGAGAATACCTGATTCTATTTATTTCGTATCAGTTAGTGTTTTTGATTACGCTATTACAATCAAAAGACGTAAGACGCATTTGAGAGGGGGTTGCTACAATTTCGACCAATACGGTGCGCCTTTCCGTCGACACGTGCGTCCGAAACAAACAGGATGCGAAAATAAACAGCCGTAATTGCACCCCCGCGCCGTAAGTGAGGACGTACCGACTGCGGGCGTCTCTTCAGCCTGGACAATACAGAACTGTAATCTCCAAGCAGATGGGGAGCAAACATCTATCTGTATTTGGCATTTTTAATGATGCGGATGATCCGGGTGCTTAATTATTTCTTATTCCAGTTCCTTGTGTAATATTTCGCTATTGTCAAAAATGTCATTGAAACATAAGCAAACACATGATCATCATAAGTGAATGTATGTTGAAGACATCGTCATTCACGGGCATGAATATGAATGATGGCCCGCATCAACCGCAAACCGAATGATGGTGATGATGATGATGAACACAGCGCAGTGAGGGCGCAGAACTGCCGTGACCTTTCATTACCATTTAATGACGGTCATAATTCGAAACATGGAAGACGTATTGCCTTTCTTGGTTCGTAAAATAAACTTTTCATGGTATTAACGAATAGGGTAATGTACCCATGATACAAATTTGATGGTGGTTTGGCGGACTTTTCTCACTACATGCAGGCAGACGCCAGAAACCTAACTGTCTCGGGCGGGCCATGCCACTATGTCCACTATGGGACAACAACCTCGCCACCTTACAACAGTTTCGTCCTATACAGTCGATTCGATAGCAAATATATATGTTGTCCAATGTTGATGTCTGTGTCTCCCGCGAATAAGTATTGTACACGTCCGGTTGTACTCTGTGACTATTTTGCGCCCTGATCCAGAACAGTACATGTGTACTTTGTTATACACAGGATGTCTTCTAAATGTTTGTTTATGCTTTTGATCATATTTCGTCCAAGGAATTATGTCAATAATGATTTAAATCATATCAATCATATCGAATTCTAACAAAATTGGGTCAGTTCAGGAATAGTTTTGGCCTACCGGGAAGGCTGACCTGAAACCGTGCATTTTGATTAACATTTATCGTTGCTTCGTAGCTTTTCTCAGTTCCATTTTAATTATGGCCTATGCCTAATGTTGTAGAGGAGACCCAGTGTCCCGATATGAGAACGTAATAATTATTTCCACACATTTGAGTCTATTCAACAGAAAACGATGTGTAAGTTTTCAGTAACAACAAAATTTACCCCCTCCCGGCCACACGAATACATACCAACACACACACACATTTATCCCGTGTGATACATTGGTTACACAGTGGATCTGCGGCTCTACCCATCCGTCAGCTGGAGAACCCTAAATCCATTTAGGAGACTTTCCCTGTGCTTTTGTTACACATATCATACTACTGTCACAGGGGTGGTCCCACACACGTCTTCTCTAACACCTTTGGGCACCCTTAATCTTCGCGGTGACCTGGGGTCACCTGTGCGCAGCAGTATTTCAATTGGGGCTTTGGCTGTGCCAGCAATATTTACTGTACGGAGAGCCTCCATAGGCCGGCCGGGCGGGCACGGTGTGTTCACTGCTGAAAAGAAAAACAAATTAAGTTTGAATTAATTACAGAGGGGTGGGGACCAGGAGAAGTTGTGTCTATCACCCCACGAGTTTGGCCCTCGTGCTGAGAGCGAGCTTTGGGCCGTAAGTCCTGCCTCTCCCGCTGGAGTCGTGAACCTGACTAGTGGTTAATTGACTTGGCAGCTCCAGGGAGGTGGGAAAACGTCTCAACACCTGCGAAGTATAACCCACGCATAGACTTGCCCTCCCCCTTCATTACCGCCGTCTGAATATGTGTCACGGCTAAGTTGGACTCAGTCCGAACACGGCAGGGGCCGTTAAAATCCAGGACCTTGTATTGCCGTGAATTATGGATAGCTTGCCCCAGGATTCGTACAAATTTGTATGCTTTGGAGAGTTTGTATGTACATAGGCATTGGACGGTATGATCTTCGGTGCAACTTTTCTTGTCAAGTAATCCATCCTTAAGAAAAACCACGGTTGCACATCGGTGCATGTTTCTGGTTAACGGTATTTAATTTCCTCATTACCTTCTATAAACGGGTTAAGTAGAAGCATCTATGGAAACATAGGTCGGCCGACTGTGTGGGTCTCAAACGTCCATCTTGACGCCCTCGAGCTCAGTGCTGGCTGTGGACGGAGGGACGAACCTAACTGCAGACCTAGTGGACAGATCACTTGACGTGAAAGTCATAATTGCAAAAAATCCTGATGCTGCCATATTGAAGACCTTTCTTAACTTAAGATATTAAACGTGATTATAAATTGCAAAACAGTTACATTTGATATCTGTTATAAGTGGCTTTCTTCATGATCGCATCACATGTTGGCTGCAGAGGGGTGTCACGTTTTAGACCAGCTACTTCTTTTCTTGACTGATCGACTCTAGTCTCCATCAGCCCCCTACAGGGACTGCATGATAGTAGAAATTGGCTAAATGACATTACCAACTTGTCATTGTGCGGCCGGCTAACTCCTCATGCAAATCATTATCCCTATCTGGCCAAGTCCTCCTACCGTTTAGCCTCCAGAGTAGCTTTGGGGAGACCAGCCCTGCAGAAGAATTTCAGAGAAGCAAGAACAACACAAGAGGCTGAATGTTACTCACGCGATGTTTCCAGTTTAAGATCTAGTTTATTTTTGATGGGCCCAGAGACGACGATACTTAAGATATACACGATATGTCTAATGTCTAAAGTGCCCAGATCGCGCCCATTTTCCCAGAGCTGCTGATGGTTGGGTCAGCTTTCTTCGGGCCTTCCAAACGGAGTGATTTGTGAGTGTGTTTGTGTAGGCCACGTTTGTGGCTGTAGGAAAACATGGGATAATCCTGGCCGTCTGAGTGCCTCACCCCCGTCATTAGAGCGGGCTTCCAGAAAGCATGCGTAGCTGGTCATGGTAGGACGGGGTAATTTGGCTACAGCATGTTCCCACCTGTCTAGTTTACGCAAGCAAACGCGTACGGGAGTAGTGCTATCACTTAAACAAGAGAGTTCATGAACCACCATCAGGTTATCTTATGGGGAAATTACTAGTATTCGAAAATTGCGAAGTACCATGCGTGGCCGCCATTATACTGGGGTTTTCATAGAATCACGTTATCATGCATTTGGTATGAGTAGTCGATTTCAGCCAAGAATCTCGTTGTCATTTCACAATTTTCTGTTAACATCAAGGCCGTTTTAAATATGTAAACTGAAAAGTTAAATGAATATTAAAAATGGAATCGCAACATCCTTTTGCTTATCTTGTGGTTTTACACAGGTAAAAATCTAGGTAATCTTATATCGATGATCTGCCTCAAACTGAGAATTCGGCAACTTAAACTTTATGTACGGTAGGAATAGCCGGATGTGGCACTCTGAATGCTTTATATATCTCTTGATCATTGCGTAATTGATATGCCGTCGTTCGTAAACTGTTGTTCCTCTGCTGCCTCCTGCACATGTCCGGACCACTGGGTCCCAACAAACGCATTCTAGATGTCGCTGCTGCACACAACTGCACGGTTGTGGAAGGCCCGTCACTCAGTAGCCGTCTGAGCACTTACGAGGCTCCAGCCTGCGTGTTGACACTGATTCTGGTGTTAGCTGTTTCCTAATTATTTTTTAACCAGAAAAGTGTTGTATTACCTGTTCCTGGTCTACCCGGGCTGCCACTGCCGTATCTCCGTATGTCCGTGTTTTGTGATAGTCCTGTGATAGAATATCCTCATTCCGTAACCGCTAGGTAAGCTGTGAGTTGGGGGCACATACACACGTATACGGTACAAAGAGACCAAAGATTATAAGTGATTACTTTCTCTGTCATCTGCACCACTATGAACCAAATGCGAAAAAGAACGCCCAGTTGAAATTTACAAGGTCCATGTGAGATTTACAAGGTGGCTCTGAGGCTTTAAATGTCCGGGCGTACTGGCGACAGTGTGCGGCTGATATGAAATTCTGCGTAGTCTTCTCTGTATAGACGAGAGGTGAAGCTCTTTCCGGCAAACCGTGGAGAGCAGAGCTGCCAGCCCAGGTGGTCTGCCGTGTGACAGGGGATTAACTGGACATCCACAAGGTCAAGCCTGGATTATCGTGTCTCAACAAAATCCTGGTTTTACTCGCTAGGATAACAAGAGAAAAAAGAAACCTTGTCCTCTTTTTTCGTCTTTCCTTCTCCAGCCCTTTTCAATCTTTCACCCTCTCTTTCGATCCTTTCTTTCTTTCTTTCTTTCTTTCTTTCTTTCTTTCTTTCTTTCTTTCTTTCTTTCTTTCTTTCTTTCTTT